GAACTTGCCCAAAGGTTTTGGGGCATCTGGAACTCTGCAGAGCTAATCACTGAAGGTATGGAAACAGCTCAGATGAATTCAGATCAAGGCTTTAAATATGAACTGACTTGATGCAGCAATCCTTGGTTGCTATGCTTAATTTTAGAATCTGTAAGTTTGATAGCAGCACAGTGTAGTGCAACGTTGCACTGAAGATTTGTGCGTGGGGAAGGAAGGCATCTGTGGTCTACCTCCTAACACATGTGAACATGGTGGAAATAACACTTTATTTTGATAGACAGTAGGATAGTTCATCTCCAACTAGGGATACATGTACCTCCTCAATCTCCTGTTGTTTTTAGTAACCAGTAAAAACTATCCATATTTTTCAAGTCCAGGTCAAAAAGAGAACTCCTCGGGCATCTGGGTTACTACTGACAGCTGTAAGGACCAGTGATCATTGTTCCCTGTATTTGAAGAAATAACAATCATAAGTTCTGAAGCTAAATCCTGTGGCACTGGATGCTTGTGTAACAGATTTCCATACTAATAGAACTGGTGTTCTGTACATAATACCTCTAAAATTGCCGCCTCCCCTATTTTGTTAAATCCATTAAATGAGATGAATGGGAGGTATATGGTCTGGTTTAAGTAGAAGCAAAATCCCTTAACTTTACTGTCTTCTTTCTTACAGAAGAAAAGGGAGGCAAGAAAAGAAAGAAGCAAAAGCAGAAGCTACTCTTCAGCACCTCAGTTGTTCACACAAAGTGATATGCTGTCCCAGAGAAATTCTCTCTCCTCTTGGTTTTTCTTTTTGTTTTGCTTTTTGTTTTGCTGCTATAGTTTAAGTATTTAAGTTTGAACAGATTTAATCTGTGTTTCTGGGGCTTGAGGGGGGAATCTGTGGAAACTGATATCACAGTAAGGAGATAAAATATTTTTCCAGATCATTCAATTGGTTTAGACCAAAATAAAGTATTGAGAAACACTGAACCTGGAAAACCTTTTAGCCAGGGCTTCCAGTCTGTGCCAAGTCAGTTCTTCTGGCCTAATACCTAGTTCAAATGTGTTTACAGCTGTCTATGGCACTGCCAGAGTGTTGCAATATGCTGCCTCAGTGAAGAGGCTGAGAACCTGTGTATCAACATGCATGGGAAGAAAAGTCCAGTAGACTAGACATGGCAGTGGTGTAGCTTTCAGCAAAGCTGAAGAGAAACATCTTAGCAGTTGCTGTTTGCCTCACACTGGAAATGAGAGCAGTAGGGTTATCTGTTGTTCTTGCCTTTCTAAACAGTAATAAATCCTTCAATTTAATTCTTCTGGCTTTTAGGTATTTAAAGTTGAGGTGAATGAAGCAGAACTCAGTAACTTGGCTCAAATGGCAACTCATACTGGAATCCCTTCATAAAGAGAATGACAGGGATGCTTGTTAGCCATCCTAGCTTACAGTTTGGAGTACTTCAACCTGGGTGAGGGAAACTGGTTCTCTAGCTCTCATATGCTAGAGTCTGTGTGCTTGCATGATCTGCAGTAATTGTTCCTAGAATTCTGAATGATGAGGCTTGGTGGGGTTTTGAGACCTAGCTGGTCTCTAACTAGAAGAACAAGTAACCCTGTATCTGCAGGTTTCAGAAAAATAACCCCATAACAAGGAACCAGGATCTATTTCTTTCAGGACACAGGTCTGGATCTGCTTGGTGTGTGGGCATACATTAGACTGTACTGGGCACATTTTACTATAAACATGTCTCTTTCCACCTACCCCCTTTCTTTTTCTTTACTTGAGCAGTCTTTCTACACTGCTTGTGGTTTGATTTGAAGCTAATGAGTTAAGTGGTGTGGATTTTTGTTGACTAAAATGAACCATAGGTGTAACGTACCAGTGAAGGCAAACAGTTGCAATAAATCATATGCACACATGGAACTGTAGTGCTGGAGTCTCTTCTGCTATATTCTACCCTGCTACTTTGAATGTCCATTCCAAATCAACTCTGATATCTAGCTATAATAATGATAGGCTTATTCTGGCTGGAGCACTCTGGTCACAGCAGCTGATAAAAAAAATGGTTACTGAAACAATCTGAGTGCTCTGGACAGAAGGAATAAGCATGCTTATTATAGGTTACACAGGAGCCTTAGCTCCCCATAATCCTATGTCAGTTTCCTTGGGGCTCTGTTCACACAAATCTGTTGTTCTGTAGTGGCTCCCTGAAAGACAAGAACACTCTTCTTTCCTCCTCCCCCCCCAGCAGAGCCTGCCTGTGTGAGCTGCCACTGGGTTGTGCAGCCCCTGGTCTCCAGGGAGACCCGGTGCTTCCCTCCACAGCAGTGGTGCCCCCATAGGCAGGGTACTAGCTGTGCAGGTGCAGCCCCAGCTTACAGGTAACACCCACCAGATCCAACAGTGCACAGAGCAGTAGAAGCCTGGACATGCTCAGAGAAGCTCAGGCTTGGTGGACTTCTAGTGCCCCTTGCACTGCCTGGGACTACCCTGGAATGGACTGGCTGCCCCATGAGGACAGCTAGGTGTACTGGCATCTGGAGAAGGCAACAGGGATGGTGTATGGGGCACTAAAAGCCTGCCAAGCCTGAGTTTCCTTGAGCACTCCCAGGCTTCCAGTACCCTGTGCACCATCCCCACCGCCTTCTCCAGATAAGGGGCTTGTGCACATGAGGAATATTGCTGTAATTTGTTACACAGCAAACTAAAATACATGGGGTGTTTTAGTTTGCTACATGAAGTCATTTAAATCGAAATAAGCCATCAAGTATGTATACTATTACACAATTTAAAGTTTAAAAAGGCAATTAAACCACTAAAAAGGGGCAACTTCCTCACATGTACAAGGGCCCTCTTGTTTTCAGTCATAGAATAAGTCACAAGGTCAGACTTGACATAGTATGGATTTATATTCCTAAGCCTGTGTTTACACATGGACAGCTTTATGTAGCCTTTGTGGGTGAGAAGTTTTTGTTTCTGTTGAAGTATTCACTCAAAGGATAACTAAAAATCTTGTATTTAAAGAAATACTTTTGCAATAAAAATTTAATTGCAAATGTTTTGCAGGTTTCAGCTAGTTTAACTTAAATCAGTCAAACTCTCTTCTCTCTTAGGGATAAGACTTGCTATCTATATGACTGGCACTGCAACAAGTAACAAAACCAATATTCCTTCTGTCCCCCCCTACTTCTCTCACATAAGGCTTGGACAAAGCAATAAAATAGGTTTAAGCAAAACCAAGAGTTTTAAGCAAGGGTAATCAGTAGGGATCTACTTAACTCATAGCAAGACAAAACCATTTTTGTGGCCTGCTTATGGCATGAAGGCCTGATTTCATGGGTATTTCCTGGAGGCCCCATTTCTTGCTGCTGATTTGGCAGAGGCCTCACCCTTACTGCAAGCAGTCAGTCTCAAGCACCTGAGTAGGGGTGCTACTACTGCCCCCTACTCAGGTATTGCAGTAAGAACTAAGAGATCTAAAAACATATGAATAATACACTGTGGGGTTTTATTGGGTTGGATTTCCCAGGAAAACCATGGCTTGTGTTATATTTCCTGGCAAATCATAGGTAGCACTGTTTTTTTGCAGTTACTGCAAAAACTTGTGAATTAAGTAGGTCCCTAATAATCAGGCCAGACACTGAAGGGCAGGGGATGGGGGTGAAAATCTTTAAATTACAAAATGCCTTAATTTAGGTAAGGCCATCCAAATAAAATGGTTCTCTATCAATAGCCTCTTTAATTACTGTTCCCTGTACCATAGATATTCACTACCCAGTGTAGACTAAGCCTCTGTGTTTTGTGTGTCTTTTTTTCTGATGTTAAAATGCTGTGTTTTTTTCAGAAATTGTATGGCTTCATGAAGCAAAAAGGTACAAAGCTAAAATTTCTTTGAAAGTAACTCTACAAAACTGAGGCCCAACAGCTTTTACATAGCGCAGAGATCTCCTGCATCGTGCCATCCCCATCTTGTAAGGAAAACTTTCTGCCATTCTTCCGCCAGGGTGTTAATAGAGGAAAAACTAGCTATAGGATAGTTTTGTCTATGCTCTTTGTTCTTCCTGTTTTGGTGGAAGAACGAAATCAATGTTGGTTGTTAAGAAGCTTTTTGACAAACCCCAAAAACGCACCAAATCAATAAGTGTGGCCATAAAGTCAACTGTAGAGGGAGTCATAGTATAACTTGAGATACTGCATTTCTGTAAATACCTAAAACTCCTCCTATATTTAACTAGTTTTAAGAAGTGCCTCACATCTACTGTGAAAGTTCTCTCCATACGAGAGAGGCTTACAGAATCAAGCTCACTTTTTATTAACACTCACAGGTATGCTAGAAGGTTTGCAGCCAGGAGCTTTCATGTCTAGCTTGCGTGAGATGTGTGCTTAAAGCCTCAGCTGTTTTGAAACCCAACTAGCTGAATTGCAGTAAAGCTTTTGCCTAGAATGATAAAACATAATGGATGATGTAAATAGCTACTCATAGGGATACTGGATAACTCTGCATCTGCCTTAGATGAGACTAGCCTTCTCTCCTCCTCCCTCTCTCCTGCCCCCACCCCTCCCCAAATCCTGGTCAGTACCAAAGCAGATTCTGCTTTCTCCAACCACAGAAAGCTTTAAAAATCCAAAAAGCTCATGTTGATGCCTGTCTGAATACTAAAAAACAAGCCAGTTGGTTGAAACCCAATAGTCCTTCACTTTCCCCCTTCCTCAAGGGGGAACCTGAACTCCCTCATCCAGGAATGAAGATGTTCAAAATTGTCTGAACACCTTAAGACTGCATAGTATCCTACTAATCTCTCCCTCTCCACCGTAAAGTGAGGAAAGCTTCATGACTTACCATTTTTTATTGACCTTCTCCAAGAATTCAATGTTCTGGGTTTGTTTTTTCTTTAATGAAAAAAGCAGCAAAAGTGAGGCAAGAACTACAGTAGTTGATCTTCTTGACAAAAGATAAGTAGTCTGAGACACTAAGTTACAGGAATTTTGTGTCTGCTTGTGAGAGGTGATAAATAATTACACTATGTTTAGTCTGTCTCTGCACAGTCATCCTCTTCCTCACCACTTTGAAACTGCTCCTCTTCTGCTTCCTGAAGAAAGCAGCCAAGTAGTGACTTCTGAATGGACTCTCTCTCCTCTGCAACAAGAAAGGCCAACATAACACATTGCTATTCAAATATTTCTTATCAAGGAAAATAAGGGTTTGAATAATCAGAAGTGAAGAATACTTTCTAGAATCAGACTAATAGAAGTAAAACAGTAACTGTGGTGCACTGTGCAGTACCACAATAGATCTTGCAAAGCTTGTGTGATGGATCCTTTTTAGAAGATCTGAATGGAGCAGATACTTACCTTTATTGGTACAACTGTTCAAAAGCATCACTAGTTGTCTTCTGTTATACTGAATTAAAAACTTCTGACATGATCTTATTGTACCTAGCAGAAAAACAAGGAGACAGTTCTGTATGTTAAAAGGGGCTTGATCACACTAGCAGCATCTTAGGCTAACAACTTTCTTTTTTGTGGGAATATTGATGTTACAGCAGAGCTATGCATCAAATAGTATGAAACAAAGCTGCAGCTTGCTTTTATTTAAGTCAGCTACAGAATTAATAAAAAGGATCTTGCTATCCTTCCAGCCTCCCTTCTTCCTCTGAAAGCTTGGAGACCAGGGGTGCACCAATAGAGATTCTGGGGGCCAATAGCAATAGCCAAATTTTTAATAGCCAATACCAATCTGATTGCTAATACAGCTGCATTTAGCTGCTAAGTCAGTAGTGGAAAGGGAAGGGGCATGGGGGGCAGATCAATACCCCCTGCAGTAAAGGAGTGGGGCAGGATCTGGAGGGCAGCTTCTGCTGTTGCACACACCCTGGGAGGGCACTGGGCAGGGGGGTGTAGACAGGTTATGTGCACCCCCAGATCTATGCAGGTGGGGCAGGGCAGGCTGCATCTGTGGGCTGGAGGCCATGCTCAGCTCTTCCCCTGGGGGAGGGGAAGAGGCTGAGCCACATTGGTCTCTGGGTAGGCAGTCGCAGCACTGGGAAGAAGGGGCTGCAGCTCCTCTCCCCCCAACTTCTAGCACCACTGCCCACCCTGAGCACAGCCTGGCACAGCCCAGCTCACAGCTGCAGCCTACCATACCTATGCCCCCCCCACCCAGATCCAGAGGCATATGCCACCCCCCCCAGGTGTGTGCAGGGGTGGGAGGCCCCCCCGACCCCAGGCAGCACCTACCCCACTCCCTCCCTTTCCATGGGGGGCATTGATCTGCCCCTTCACACCCGTTTCCTCCCCCTTCTCCATCCACCACAACAGACTTACCAGCTAGACGCAGCTCTCTAAATTGCTGGGCTGTGCTCCTTGCTACCTGTGTGCTGTGCTGTGGCTGCACGCATGCAAGAGCATTTATTGGCCCAATTATCAATCACATCAGGCTGATTTCCAATATAGTCAATTTTCTTTGCATTGGCGCTGATCCAATATTGGACCAATGTATGGGCATACCTCTGAGACCAATATAGCTATTTTGCTGTATTCAAGACTACTTGAGCAGAACTACAAGTCTGCTGAAACAGGTGAATCTGACATCTAGGCACATGTTACATTGATGTAACCTTGCTAATGAGGAAGTTTAAGATACTGCACACACACAGTCAGCAGTACAATGGTGAACAATTAAGCACAGGATTGAGACCAACTAGAACTGGTAGAATGGCTCTCATAGAACAAAGTGACTTGAACTTTTGGATTAACTAATATTTAAGAGTTAAGAGACACTGAAGCCTCACTAAGGCTGCTACATTGACATTGTCCTGCAACTGAAAGAACAAATAAAGCTTGCACTCTTCCCTCCGATTGCAACCAATGGCAAAGAACCTAAAGATGCAACCCCTCCATACAAGGAGGGAGGTAGTTAGCCCTGTTAGGCTGAAGCACCGATTCTCAGCCGGGGTGCCTTGCGATCCTTTCATAGGTGCTATGCAAAGTTAGCACTTTTAGGTGTGCAAACATGATTCCCAGAATTAAACCCAGAGTTTTCAAATAGGAATTAGCAGCGCCCTGTTGAGGTCCAAGCTCTTTGCAACAGAAGAATTCATTATTTTTTTCCTGTAGTAAAGGAAATGAGTGGAAGCTCAGAGCTGGCACCTCCCAAGAGGGACTTGAGTCTAGATAAGTTGAGAATCACTGGTCTGAGGTCAAGCAGGAGGCAGGGCAGGGCAGCACCTTAGAGCAGATATTCCCAACCAGGGGGCCTCAAGATCCTATGCATGAGCACTGCCCAGTTTACAAACAGGATTTGCCAGATAAGCCTGGAGATGTTCCCGTGCACGGAGTTTTGGAAGACCTGGCTCCGGATTGTGTTTGGACAACTGCCCTGTTATTTTTCTGGAGTCAAAGAAAAGAGCAAAAACTGAGGCAGCACTTCCTGGGGGGTGCTGCCAATCTAGACGGGCTGTGGCCGTGCCCTCCACGGCCCGTGCAGGGATCCCTGCCCCTGCCCCCGACAAGAGCCCCGGGCACGAAAGGCAACTGACCCCCGACGTGCAGCGTGTGGAAGAAGCAGGGGTGCCGCTGGCCCCGGCTCTCCAGGTGCGTGACGAGGGGCAGCGCGGACCAGAGCAGGCGGTAGAAGTCCTTGCGGCAGCGCAGCAACACGACGCCCGTGTAAGCGTTCAGGTACTTCACTGCGGGCGGCAGGAAGGGGTGGTCACCGGGAGCCGAACCGAGCCGGGCGGGGCCGCCGCAGCAGCGCGGGGCCGGTACCCGCCCCCGCCCCTGACCCTGACCTTGACCTGTGAAGGCGATGGAGCAGCAGGCCAGCCCGTAGTCCCCGTAGGCGCGGGCCAAGGCGCCCTTGGCGGCGGTGGTCACGGCGCGCTCGTCGATGCAGCGCCGGCAGCGCGGGTCCTCGGCCACCACCTCGCATAGCAGGTACCTGCAGCGCCGCGGAGACACCACGTGAGCGCGCGGGAATAGGGCAGGGCAGGGCGGGGGCGCTCTGAAGGCGCGGGACTCACCTGTGCTTGAACCGCACCATCGTGGCTTCCGGACGCGCCTTCCTCCTGTCCTCCCCAGACGGACGTCTAGGTTGGCCAATAGGAGGCCGCGGGACTGCACCTCAACCAATTGCCGCTCGGCAGGGGCGGGACCAGAACGGCGGCGAAGGAGGTGGAGGCACCGCAAGTGCGTCTGGCCGGTGTGGGCCTGTGTTTTGTGCGCATGCGCGGTTGGGAGCACGTGGGAGCCGCGTCCGAAGGCCCTGGGGGGCGGGTTCGTTCCCGCGCCCCGCACTGGGGCACCAGAGCGGCGCTCGGCTCGGCCCGGCCCGGCCCGGGGGCCCGAGTGCGGGCCGCAGCCCCCGCTCCGCTCCGCTCCGCTCCGCCCC